TTCATATAAGTAAAATGGGGATTTTGAAATTAAATTTTTAAATTTTTATACAGTTTTCTCCGTAACATTTAGACGGAGCATTAATACACAACAATGCTTCGATTCAATAGACTACATTATTTGGTTTTGTTTAGCTCTAGATGAAGGGCTTAATGAAAATTGGGCATTTTTATGATCCATGGGTAACAACCATCTCATTAAAAATAGACCAAACACCCATGAATAATAATATTATATGATATTGTTATATAATATTATTGATATTTGTCAATAGGAGCATATATTGTAATTTTAAACTTGATGAAACCAATTTTACTCTATAAAACCCCCATAAACCCGTCCCTATACTGTAGTCCGATCATGCTTGGGTTTGAACTTGTTCGAAGAAATATAGGTTTACACATTTCAACCAAATTTCATCTGAATCAGATAAATTTTACATGAGTTATCATGCTAACGAACACACACACACACACACATATATATATGACTAGGTCTTACCATGAGACCAAGACTTTACAGTTTATTTTCTATATGGAAAATTGGTCAAAAGGAACCGTTTAAAATAAATATTGTAGGCCCCAATTCTTCACCTAAAAACACTAGGTCGTTCGGACCTTTTATTTTACAGTTTTGTTTAGTTACAGTTTTGTAGAAACCTATGTTTTAAGCTAAATAATTGAATGTGTTTACTATAAATACAACAGTAACGAAGTTTTATATGAATAATCTGTCATAAGACTTAGATTGTATTTATAAACTGAATGTTACTATACTGAAGATGAATATTTTATAACAAATATTAATACCATTTTCTTTTCCTCTAAAAAAAGAATTCCCTTGTGTATAACAGCTTGATAAATCTACGATAACTCATCCTTGTGTAAAATATAAAGCTACTTTTAAATACTTGTTTACTGACTTCAGCCGTTTATAACATTATATTGATATAAAAAAAGTATGTACGGTGTGGATTATCTTGGTATATAACGGAATGAGCGAGTTTCCAGTCAATAGCAGCATTGGGTTAAATTAAATTGTTTTCGTTCCAGCTCTCCTTCCCTATCCACTGTCTTCCATCTCTCTATTTCCTTTCCTTTCGCAGACATGTTCTAAATTCTTTCTGCTATTTCTTTGTTTCTAGTTACTGCAACACGAGCATGTTATAACATGGTGAGACAATTCACTGCTGTTTGAGCTTAATTTCTCTGTTCTTCATACACCTAGAAACTGATAGCTTAGCCAAAAATTAACAATTACTAAAACATAGTATTCATTATATTACATGATAAAACATGACTTGTCAAGAAAATGAGTTTTATCTAAGCCAATATTTGAGTAATTCTATAATCTGCACCACGTGTTTGTTGGTAAATGATATAAACTATGACTGTGGCGTGCATTGGTAGGGACATAAGAGCTTTGTAATAGAAGTTCCAAGTTCAAATCGGTCAATCTTAAATGGTGATTTGCTGTGTGATGATAATGTTAGGCCCAGGAAATCGGATCTTATATAGGTATTTTTACGTAGTTGATGTTTCAATGTTTTGTTTACAGTACTATAGTCCGGTTTAATTTGCCATACTAAACAAGTAATCATATTAATCCATATACTAGGACCAAAGAGACGAAATAGGCTTTATTTTCAAGGGTTTTACTAGGTAAATAACGTTTCTGTAGAGGGAAACTAAACAGCAATCAACTAAATTTGATTTAGCGCCCTTTCTTGTCTCTTATTACTTTTGTGGATGCTCACCTCTTCTTATAAATTTCACGAGCTGTAAACAATATTTTATAAAACTTTTAATAGTTTATCAAGCAAAAGCTGTGAGAACTAGAATGCATTTGTGTTATCTAAACCATGGGAGATTTAGATTAAGTTTCTCATAAGGGAACTGTCCGATCACTGATTTTACTCCCCCCCCCCCCCCACCGGGTCTTGTTAATGCAATATATTCTTGTAATAGAGCGTCGGATAATAGAAGATTTGGTTTAGCATCATAACCCTATTGTTCAATATAGTGAATGTCTATGGGTTTACACGTTCTTTCATTACCTGTAACTCATTTTTCAAACGATTACGCTTGGGTCTGTCACGTTTTATAGTTACAAATCTAAATTGACTCATTACGCTGCATTAAGTCTGCAGACTAAGCAAACTTCAATTTGTCTTGTGTAGGAATATATATATCCATTGTTTTTAGCATCACTGGGGACATCAAAACGAAAGAGTGAATCCGTCCCGGTTGTGAAATGTACCATGAGACCGACGGTCATATTTCCTACATAAGAAATGCACAAATGTAACATTCTTACGTCAATATGCTAGACTTATAATGGACTCATTTTAGAAAATATTATTGGAATAATAAACAACAAAATATATTTTTGTTGAGTAGTCGTTTTCAGTGGAAATAATAATTAAGTTGGCATTCATGATAAATAACATTACAAAACTGTTTAATGACTGAACCACTTATATTCTGAAAATTAAATCCTTACCAATATTTTACCTAATATTACTTAAGATTTTTTTAAGATGTTACCTATTGTATTTATTACTCAATGGTATAATAAATCTCTTGAATCTAGAATCTTTCTCTCTTGAATCTACCACGAGGCACATAATAAAGTTAGGTTACACCTAGTAAATCCATAACTAAACAGAGTATGGTCATTGTTGAGATAAAGAAAATTCAAATAGTATATGGTTTTTATTTTCTTTCCATGTCCCAATATATTAACCAATGGCTGTATGCATTTTACTCATCTCAATATATCATCATAATACTACCTTATACATTGCCTTTAACGGGAAATTTTATAGTCTATCACCTTCAAACATACAAAGCTTGTTCAATACATTGTTCCATTTTATCGTATACATTCAGTTAAGGTAAAACGTATGCTTACAAAATTTGACACTTTGCAAAAAATATGTACCTGTATGTTTAATATGTAAAGGACACTAACAATATAAATGTACCCTGTACTTGTTGATGGAAATATTGTCTTAAATTTAGTTTTTTTACCGCAATGATTTATTTAATAAATTAAAAAAAAAACATCCTCTGATGTGGTATTCTATTAATGCTAAAATTTTAGACGAAAGAAAATACATTGTCAGCAATAGTGTACTTTAAATACTCAAGCTATGTTATGTGATAATAATCAAAACCTGTGTAATTATAAGCTCTTAGTTTTCTTGCCTTGCTTACTTGATTTTCTTATCAAAAATTTATTTGTTGTATCTAAAGACTTCACGAATATAAAATTTACTTATGGAATAAATTTTAGCGTGTGTCTCTCATTAGAAAATTCCTCGAGAAGTTCTAACACATCATAAAATTCCAACTACTATCAAGAACAACATACACGTGGGAACTAAGCTTCAATGAGTCCAGTAATGTTAAAGTGTTAACATTACTGTATTTGAAACTGGCAATATGTCATCACATTTTCAATCTTGAGTGAATTTTTGACTCGATCTAATGTTTAAAGAAAATTAGCGAAAAGAAACTTTTTACCCATCTGATGGACAGTATTTTTTGTTATACTGCGCCATTATTATTATTATTATTATTATTATTAAGCTGACAAAATCATAAAACGACAATGTTGTATATTGTCAAACTTCAAAAGAATATTTCTGTCTTGTTTTGCTTTTGTACACGAAATCTATTGTTATTTAGAAGCAAAACAACATTGCTCTCCGCCAACAAAATAATAAAATAAAACTCGTCTGTGTTAATTAAGTTGAATGCCGATATGATTTTGAAAAAAAAATGATGAAACACGATGGTAATACAATACAATTTTAATTTTAAGTTGTGTTTAATTATTTTAACTTTTTTAATAATACAGGGTGAGGCATTGAGAGCACCCCAATTTTCTTTAGTTGTCACACTATAAGTAAAGCAACAAAAAATGAACAGAGAATGTGCTTATAACATCAATTAAACTATGACATTTTAGTTAACATTATGCCTGAGGCTATTAACACTGAGATTTTGTTGTGGCAACCTATTTCAAAAATAGTGATTCTTGTGCAAAACCCCAGAAATTGTTTGGACCACATTCCATCCTTGGTCAACATGTCGCTGTTCCAGATTAGAAGACAATGGTTAACTGGGTAAAATTATTTAGGATTACAGCTTAAACCTTAAAAATAATCGGTGGGTGCCGCAAAAACATTTGTACACCCAGCAAATGTTAAAAAAAGTGGGAGTCGCAGTAACTTGAAAGTCCAAAGAGATTTGCCAGGAAGCGTTTGTTTTTAAAAGCTTTACGTGGGCTCTTTTTTTGGAGGGGAGTATTCTGATAAGTTACTAGAAGTTAGAGGTTTTTCAAAGTTGCCCCACAGATTTGCTTGAACCAAAGCTAAGAATTGCCCAAAAACCTAAGTGATTCCTGAAGCAATGCTGGAGGAGTATTTGATGGAGTTTTCAAGTGATTAAAAAGGAACGTCAAGTAGGACAAGGACGTCACTTGCAGGATTTTGTTTTCAAGAAATGGAAAATATGACTTTGTTAGGCTGAAATGGCAAAAGATAAGCTGTGTTTTGATGTGCTATTTATATCTATAGGGTGAACATTAATGAGTTTGTACTATTTATAAATTGGGGCGCTTTCATTGCCTCACCCTGTTTGTTTATAGGGACCATTTTATTCGGAAAAATCACCGGACGAAATAGGTATATTTTTTCAACTTCAACCTAATTTTTGTCCTAGGGAGTAAAAGAAAGTAAATTCCCCACAATACATTGATTAAAACAGCTGGTGCTTATGCTGTAGCACAACAAAACACGTGATTATGTTATCAGCCAGCCTATTAGAATTCATTGCAACTTTGACTATCAAATAAACAATGGTTTCCAGTGGGTTTGAAACCAGGTATTTTACACTTTTTTTCATATGATAACATGTATACAAATAAAATATTTCGTGTTTGTGGTTATTTTAGCTTGTCCAGCAAATTGATTCTTCCATGACCTGTTGCAGGTGAGCTTACATCTCGTATCCCCGGTCACCCGAGGGTTGGTCAGACGAGGGATCATGCAGTCAGGGACACTGAACGCCCCTTGGAGCTTCATGACGGGAGAGAGGGCAGTCGAGATAGCCAAGACACTCATCGATGACTGCGGTTGCAATGCGTCCATGCTGGTCGAAAGTCCTTCTAGGTGAGATTAGTACACAATCAAGTAAAGAACCTAGAGTAGGTGTTGTAAACCCTTCATCCGCCAGATGTTGGTCGAACATGGCGAAGGACGAGAAACATGCTCAGCCAAGTATGACGGGTAAGAAATTTCCAGCCTGAGCAAAAAGTTTGTTGGACCTTGTTTTGTTCCTACAAGTTCAATATCATAGTTTTGGCTTTTTTGTAAGTACTCACCTCACGCTAGAGTTCTACGCCCATTTTACGAATGTTTTATATTATACCCGATTGTTTACGTTTATCATCCGGGATGCTATTTATTGACAACGGGAGGCTGTATATGGCTAGGGTTTTATACCTACAAACAGTGATGGATTCTACTGATTATTTCGACTAATGGGAAGTTCAAATTAAAAGTGAGGAAAAATAGGTTGATCCTGTATAAAGCTTTGGTGATGTTTGGAAAATTAAGTTCACGGGAGATTTTGGCAATACTTCAAAGACCAGAATATTACATATCCAATACAAATACAAAGCTTGTTTCAATCCGTGTTTAAGTAATAGGTTAATTCAATGATAAACCTGTTTAAAATGTGCTTTGTAAGGTCTTGGTGAAAACCTTAACACTTTAATCTTTGCAGCGTTTTTTCAAATCCAAACTGATTAACCTAACCATACATAGGATATGTTATATTGAAAAGTAAATAATATTTGTGAGCAAATATTTATATTAATTTAGTCGCAACTGTGGACATTCTGTAAAATGTAAACCAAGAAATAAAAATGTAAGTAAATAAATTCCTAATACTATTACTCCATTTCATGCATTGCCAAAACGCTTTAGGGAGTGGACAGAACGCCTGGATTTTTGCCGGTAACCAATTTCGTAGCCAACCGTTCATGTTTTGTATGTTGTTGAGTAAAATGCCAATCCGCAATTATTGCACCATTTGTATACTATCACTTGTATGTTATGTTCAGGGTAATGTCTTGTATGAGAGCTGTGGACGCCAAGACCATATCAGTCCAACAATGGAACTCATACTTCGGCATCCTAGGGTTCCCCTCAGCCCCTACCATCGACGGCGTGTTCCTTCCAAAACATCCACTCGATCTTCTGAAGGAGGGCGATTTCCAGGACACAGAAATCCTCATCGGCAGCAACCAGGACGAGGGTAAGCGACCTTTACGATCACTTCGTAATTTTTTAATATTATAGTGTATTTAATTATACAAATACTCTTGTTTGAAAATTAGATACGTAAATGATGAGTAATAAATTTGATAGCAAATTGATATTTTATAAGTAATATAAATGTTGAAATATGTATCACTCTTGCAGCTGTTGGGGTTTTGTCCAACTCTAACCAATCCAACATCCTCCAATTGTTGTAGTTGATTTTAAGATCTTACTGTACAATGAAAATGAGTTTATTATCAGCTCATGTCAGCAATAGGCATGTGTTGTGGAGGTCTAATTTTACCTAGATTAATAAATTTTGGATTTTATAAAATCAAAACTCAAGGGGATCCAATTTTCATTTTATGACGAGTAAATCTGATTAAAAAAAATGGGGGTTACGGATTCATTTTTGATTACCTTTATTGTCATTCAGTTCTACCTGAGCTATGAAAATGTTTAACATTGTTTCATATACACATCTAAGCTCAAAAACTATTTGCTGATACTTTATACTATTGTAGATTTGACCACTTGGACCAATGAAATATGCGTGTTTAGTTAAAACGGCTAGTTTGACAGATTTGTTTGTTGTAGCATTTATAAGAGAGAATATACGGATATGTATACAAATTTATAAGAATAATATTATGTATAAGGATCTTTTTGGGACAATATGAGAAGATTTAAAAAGAAGATAGTTCTCAATAGACCATATGATGTCATTTTTATCAACTGATGAAGCATAATCATTTAAGTCCATGTAAGTTTGTTTGTGTAAAGCTGTTTCAGTGAATTTTTATGTAGCTCACTTTATTTTGTGTGGTTAGACTAAGATTAAGAGATCGGGGACCATTGGATTTCCCTTAATTAATATGCCTGCTTAATTGCCTTAGAATTCAACATTATTATATTGTTATTGGATGGGATGCTAAGACCAGTTTAAAAATGTGAGATTTTGAATGCTCACTTAGGTGCCCTAAGGTCATTTGTTATTCTTCCGTGAACCTAATTTGTCCCAACTTAAATGTGAGGTTAGGTTGGTATAAATAAACATCTAAACCTCTTGACTTGATCTACCTAGTAGAGGTTTCTATTTTTAATATAAATCAACTATGGCTAACGTCCAACGACATTTTAAGAAAATATTCGTAAAAAAGGGAAAAGACTGCGATCAAAATTTTGTACAGAAGAAGTAAGAAATTACGAAAGTTATTCAATATCCTAATCGCTGCAACAGCCCCACGTTGACTGCGTCTCATTTATCCCTTGTTAAAAACTTTATGAAAGATTTATAGCTCTTCCAAACTGTCTCACTTACGTTAGCAACAAATTCTTTCCCTGTCTCCATTTTCCGCTTCATTTAGTTCCATCATTTTACTTCATTTGGCTCCACATTGATGAGCAATGTAAATTTGGAACTTTGCCTACATTACTAGCTGCGATGGAATTAATTTAAGTTTTATAAATGTTTACTGGACATAGTGTACTAGTGTTAAGTTAAGTATCATTTTTAAGTTAAATATTTGATTATTTTAACTTTTAGAATCTATGTTTATGTCTAATTGACTGTTAATATTTAATTTCGAAACGATCAATTACGCTCAAATAAAGCTTTAAAATAAATAAAAGAGATTCGCCAAAGAGTTTACTGTAATATTGAGATAAGATGTTTTATAAAATGTGGATGAGTTGAATTAGTCATGTATTATATGATGTATAGCTAGGTTTGGGATGGTTAACATTCCCTTGTAAAAACAAAACGCCGTTCACAACGATGCATTGAATATTTTTTGACTTGTAAGACTTGAAAGCTATATACAGTATATATGTAGCACGGATGTTTATGGGTATATTGAACGTTGTGAAGTTTCATTCCTATATAGTATCAGCGATATAATGTATCCTTTGCTCTAAAAAGTACATTGTTTTACAGTGAAATGTCACTATTGAATTGTAATTTAATTTTTATACTAAATGATAGAAATAATAATTTCTCTTCATCCATATTCTATCAGTTCACTTCAGTTTCATGATTGGCAAACCATTAAACTATTGATTTCCAGTATTGTATTTACAAAACTAACAGCGAATTAAAAATTATTTGTGATTAAAGACATTATATAAGTTTTTAATAAGTCTTGACAACTGGAATCCATACACTAATGAAATCAAGGAAACTATAATATAATATCAACTACCAGCTTTCCATTTTAACCATTACATGTTCTGTAAAACTATTTAATGACAACCTAATATACCAATATAATTACTACTGAGAATAATTTTCTTGTATTTGTGTATAAATCACATTTTTCAGCAACGCTATACTATTAAACTTTTAACCCATGTGGATAACGTTTGTTTTGTAGGAAAATCGTTACAAACCATAATATAATCATTATTTATAATGGTAAAAAATTTAAGAAATAGACTAAACAGACAATGTATGGAACATTATATATATATAAAAATTTAAAATAGACAGAGCAATTTAAGCTAGGCTTGATGGGTTGCTTGACGTAGACTTTAGCTGTCACATATACTAGTCTGAACACAACACAGCACAGGAAATGCAGTTTACCACAATTTATAACGATAGGGGGTTGATGTGAAGGGGTTAATAAAAACGTCCGTTACACTGATGCCATTTCTAAAACAAATATTGTTTCATTACAAAAACTAAACTACTATCTGGTATTTCTAAGAGAAGCTCAACGTATGATAGAGTGAAATATCTGATACAGTTTTTATTGCTTGTCGCTGTCCGTGAAGAGATGACAGATTTATTTAGATTTATCACCAATAATTTGTTTATATTCCAAGAACTTGATAAAGAGTTTGAAATGTTATTAAATGTTGTAACCGCAAGTGTGAATACTAGAAAGATTTTAACATCATCTCGTTTTATACAGGGTGACAAAAAGTCTGGAAACTGTTTAATTTCTTTTTAACAAAATCCGTTACAAAATTAAAACCTTTCAAACCTTTCAAATCAACTTATATGTATGAAAACTACTTTTTGTAAGCATTACCATTTTTGATCTCTACCAGGGGACGACCCATGAGGAGTAAGTACATAATCTTTAATGTAAATGTTGATATGCACATCATTTTAAAGGGCGTGTCAAGTGGAGTTCATTGTCAGAAACCGTGTCTCAAAAAAAGGTTCATCCGTTACAAAATGGCAGCTGTCCAAAGTTCTTGCGGAAAATACCTGCACAGGCCTTAGTATTGGCAAATACTCGTAGTCAACATTTGCTAGAGAGCTGAAACCCGGTTAATTTGTTTTGAATATTGAATACTATTAGTCTATGAGCTGGTTGAATTTCAATCTGCGATTGGGGGCCCAGGAAGAGTCAGTTTCAGTTAACAGTTGAAGAATTCAGTTTCCCTCGTGGAGGTCAAAGAATGGTGATGCTTGCAAAATGTAGTTTTTATACATATAAGTTGATGTGAAAGGTTTGAATCTTCTGACCGATGTAGTTAAAAAGATACCAATCCGTTTCAGGACTTTTTTGTCACCCTGTATATTACTGTCTTTATACTTGATAACTTCGTGGCATATCAAGTTTTAGATTATTTTATTTATTTATTAGGTACTTTAAAACCCCTACTTACAGGTATGGGTAATTTTTTTATGCATCATTGAACGACTGGCATGTAATTACTGCAATATACATGTACAGCATATAACTAATTAACATACTCACCTTCTTTTGTTTTTGATTATTTTACAAGCCAAACGCTTCAAAAAATGTAACATGTAATAATTGATGGTCACGTTAATTAATCATATACAGAACTATTAATTATTTAGAAACCAAATGACCGAATATATAACGAATCTATATAGATTACAACTATATAGTTGTAAATTTAAATTAAATTAACTAATAATCCTTAACTGTAAATATTGTGAAAGAACATTTTTGTAATTTTCCGAGTTTCATTTTGGTAATGAAACTCATAATAAAAGGTCTACCTGGTTGGAATATTAGTTCACAGGTTGTAATGATAAAAATGGATTGCACGTTTGTCCTCCTCCCCTTCCATCGCCGCCAAAACGTGCACATCAAAGGCTCCAACGATGGTGAGCTTGCTTCAAACCGGGTTTAAATTCTCTCTTTAAATTTTAAAAAGAAAAAATTGATATAGCTTTTAGCCTGGACATTGATCTCTTAATTATTCTAATAACCACTTTGTTATGTAGACAATTTATGGAATCCCTTTTAAAATGTATCATGTACTTAACTTGTAACACTAGAACCCCTTAAAAGTGTTGAGGAATATATGCATGGTTCTTGGCTGGGTAAGTTTTAACTATGATTTTCTCAGCGTTTGAGAACTATTTCAGTAAGAATAGCTCATATCATGATTGAACTAATATTGTCTTGGACTAATGAGAACAAAAATAAGCATAACCTGGTACCCTTTATTAATTATAAATTGTAAACATGGTAAATACCTTTAAAGTAGTTTATAGTACAGCGTAAGAATATGTTACAATTATCTACTGATTTTCTGGATTTATCTTAAACCATTTGTAGTTGTAGATTTGGTTCTAAATCTGTAAATGAGTTTTTTTTCGAGTAATATAACCATATATTGACTTATTATATCACAACATTATGCTATATTTATTTATCTTATAAATCCTTATACAATCACATATTAGTGGACTTTATCATATATGATTACAAACAGGAATCTAATGAGAATGAATATACAAATATATTCCTCATAAAAATAGGGTAAGTCAATTATTATTTCTTTTCCAGGTACATACTTCATTTTGTACGACTTTATTGACTATTTTGAGAAGGATGGGCCAAGTTTCCTACAAAGAGACAAGTTTCTTGACATAATCAACACGATATTCAAGAACTTCTCCAGGCTTGAGCGGGACGCTATTATATTCCAGGTTGGTTAAAAAAGTTCATTCTGCAAAAAATGTCCACATTTACTAAGCAATAAATGTAATTCTACTCAAATAAGAAATTTATATGAATGCATAACTCATATACAATGGAATAACTATAACAGAGTATACTATAACTATAACAGTACGGAAGAAAGATATTGAAAGCCCAACTTTTTAGGTACTCATTTTTACTCGGGTGCGCTGTATTTTTGTATTTATAAAACGTTTTAAAGACCTCTTAACAATATACTAATGAAATGTTTTCATAACTATATATGAATCATAACCAATAATTAGTAGTTCCCAAGACTGCTAAAATATCTTATGTTATTAGCTTTTCGAAAAGCTGGAACACCAGAGCCTGTTACGCTATAACAGTAACTTTTTAAAATTTATTGGATGGCAGTTAAAAGGTTTATTACGGACATTTTCCATCACAATGGTAAAAAAACAATACACAACGTTTCAGGACCTGGAATCTTATCCTGTCCTCAGGCGAAAAATCATAACCAACACATTACAACTAACAATACACAAAAGCCCAACCTAAGTTATATATGCACTGTATAGCAGTCAATTCATGATACAACATGCAAAATACAACCAATCACAAAACACTATAGTCTATATAAGATGTAGTGTAAATAGCACACACAATGGAACACTAATCGCTCAGTTAGTGTAAAGGAAGGACAGTGTACTCTGTACGTAACCTGTGTCATCTCCTATGTCATCTCCTTGCAGTACACGGACTGGGAGCACGCCAACGATGGTTACCTCAACCAGAAGATGATTGGCGATGTTGTTGGGGACTACTTCTTCATTTGTCCGACTAACTTGTTCGCCCAGGCTTTCGCAGATCATGGGCTCAAAGTGTACTACTACTTTTTTACTCAGGTATTTATAAACTATTTGCCCATTCGAAGCATATGTATATGCAATTATGTTAAGTATTGTTTAAGCTAAATTGATGTATGGTAAATCTCAATTAATATATTTTTTTGAATGTTTTTAGACATATCTCAGTTTGTCTAATTTCAACGCAATTATTTTTATTAACAAATAATATTTAATGCCTGTTTAAAAACATTAGTTTCATTATGTTTACTTCAACAGGAAAGGGAAAAGGATAAATAGAGATTTTTTTTTATTAATAGTGTAGGATGAAATAAATCAATTTGCCAAATTTGATCAAAATATCCATAGACAAGCCAACTACTACAGTTTTCTTTTCCTCCATAAGATTAAAAAGGGAATTTTAAAAACATTTTTTAATGTACAGTTTCTTTTTAATTATCTCTGTAATCTTTAGATGCACAAACATGCTTCAATATATAATTTTGTTTGTTTTAAGCTCTACACGATAGTTGTAATGAAGTTTGGGCATTTCCATGTTTCAAGGTTAAAACTTTGAAAGCCCCAATTTTCGAAAAAAACATCAAAACCCCCATAACACTCCATTCCCATTATCCGATCTTGCTGGTTCGCGAGCTAATTCAAGTTTATTCAGCCTACACTTATATGAAAAATGTCATCAAAATTGAAACAAAATTACGCTCGTTTTCGTGTTCATAAACATAGTACATAGTTGTGCTACAAACATGTTCATTAATACAAATCGCTACAATATTCAGTAAAAACATCTAACGTCTATACATTTATTTTTCATAAAACTATAAACCAAAATCATGCTTACTCATGGATTTTTTTATCATTATTTATTTTTATTAATTAGAAAGTACATAATACGTAATACAGCAAATACCATAACTAATCTTTTCCACATTTTTCATTGTTTATGTGAAATATCTTATGATATAGTTACAACGAATTTGACAATATGAAAAGTTTGGGTCGACAAAGGAAGAAACATCTTGGGAGGCTTATGATGCGGGATTTATTCTTAGATATATGTCAACTCGGATTTGGAGGAAGTATGTTTTGCAATATGTGTGCCCTCTTTTCTTTCAGTGATATAATTATCCATCTCGAGTTTCATCTCGTAATTTGTAAGAGGTGTTTTGATCCCTCGTGTATTTCAATTTTGTCCTCAATATAAAATAAGGCTTGAATGTTATTTTTTGCTTTAAGGTCGTATTTGTATACAAATCTATACGATAAATCTGAGCAAAGTTGTTGGTAAAATTTCACTTAATTTTTAGGCTGCTTTTTCTTGGATGGAATGGAAAATTAAACAGGATCAATAATAATTATTTTAATACATCACAAACATTTCTATTTTTATAAATAGTAATATAGACATTAATAAAAGATTATGTCTACGCAAAACATATTTTTATTGACAAACATTTTACTCTATATAACTGTTACAAACCCCTTAAACATGTAATACTTGTAGATAATACCAGAGGCAACATATACTGCAGTTCTATAAATGCATGTAATGTAGGTTTACTTTATAGTACACTTAGACTCACATTTTACTGAAATGATTTCAGTTAAATTTTATTAATATTTTTGTATTAGCCAAGTATGAATGAAACCATGATGTACTTCACTGGTAATATGTGATTTTAGCCTACGTGAAATGGCAATTTCTTAATAAAGAGTACAATATGGTATAAGTAACGCGTATTATATTCTATATTTTTTATGTTAGTATTTATTTTATGGCATTTATTAATTATTTTAATTTCAGATAATTAATTATTTATTATTTGTTATCTATTAAAACTTGCAAAGAATAAAAACTATACAGTGATTGAAAGAATAGCACATGAGTAAATGACAAGTATATCACAAAAGGTTCCTATCAGCGAGTTGGCACTTTTAGATCGAAGCCATTATATTTAGTCTGTTATTTGTTTGGATATTTTCGCGCACTCCTTTGACGCAATCCATGATGATTTTAAAATATCGTATAGTTCAAGGCGGTAAGACGCATTTATGATAAGTCACTTATTTGCTATTTTATTTCTCTTATGATAAAATAAGAGTTACACAGTTTATTTGTTTCAATAATGGAAGCCTTGGTATGAGGCTTTAGTTCGTGACGGCACTGTACTCTATGTGAAAGTATTAGTGACCCACATAATGGTTTTTTTTCAATAATGAGATACGCGTACTGTTCAAAATGTTGTCATATTGTTTATAATCGTATTCGTATAGTTTAAACATATATGATTTTGTTGGAAAACCGTAGGAATGAAAAAAAAATTAAAGTTAGCTCAGATAACCTTGTTAAAAAAAATTAAAACCCACCCTCAACGGGCATCCTCAAAATAAATGTGTTATTAGTTTTTACTAAATCGGGTAAGTAACACTGGAAACCTTTGTGATTCACACATTTTCATATTAATTTTAATAATTTCTTTACACTAACCTTCCATGGTATTAGGGCATTTTCCTATTAGGAAGAAGCTCTACCGTAGGTGGCACGGAAAGCTCTACACCCAGGACCGATTAACTTGTCCATTATGATGTCGTCAGGTGCCAAAAACACATTTAGTTCAAAATAAATATGCATATATTAATATACTGGGTGCTTCAAAAATCAGTTTACCGAGTAAGTGTATTTGTTTGATGCAGATAATAAATCAAATTTATGTATATTCTAATTTTATTGAAACTGAATTTACACAACACATAGGTTGTAAACTTAAAAGAATTGTTCAAAATGCTTACCCCTAACTTCAATGCATTTTTCACAGTGTTTTTTTTACACTTACAAAAATCTTTTCTCGTGGATTTTTATTGTCGTTTAAGGTTTCAAATTCTCTTGTGAATTGATCGGCCTCCAAGGTCCTGTGATCTTACACCTTTAAACCTCTTTGTTTTGAGGGATCTTGTAAAATAAAGTTTTTGCCGAACGGCAAAGACGTTCTGCAGTTGAGAGCAGCCATCGTAAGAAAATTTGAAGCGTATTTTCTTAAATAATCAAGTGTAAAAACGCTGTGAAAAATGCATTGAAGTTAGTGGAAAGCATTTTAAGCTATTCTTTTAAGTTTACAACCTATTATTTGCTTCAAACAAATACACTTACTCGGCAAACCGATTTTTGAAACATCCCGTATATAATATACAGGTTTTCCGGTAAGTAAACAGCCAAACTCTAGGAAATGTAAATATGGGTCGAAATAAATATTTAGTATAATTTACCTTTTTCGTCTAAGGGGTCAACATTTGAGGGGTCGCCGGAATTTTATCCCCCTGGAAGTTTACCCCCTGGGCAAAGCTGACGTCACTATGACGTAGTAACCTGAGTGGCCAAAAGTTTGTTCGCGGCCGGAATTTTACCCCCGCGGATTTCGAAGTCTAATGAAAATAGTCAGAGCGTGATTAATTCAATTAGCGATAAAAACCGGAATTTTACCCCCTGTCCATATAACTAGTGTTTAGACAACTGAAATGTACGGGCCGGAATTTTTACCCCCCGGAATTTTACCCCCGGAATTTTACCCCCCGGAATTTTACCCCCGGAATTTTTGCCCCCAGATTTTTACCCCCCGGAATTTTACCCCCTGGCCGATTTTAGAAATTGAATGATTGGTTTTCTTATTTCTGTTTTTAATTAATTGTAAACATTTCATTATTTAGTGGCCTATCTTTATTTATTTATTTTGTAATCTCATTCAGTTGATTGTATATACGTCACATTAACCAAAAGTTGGCTTCAAAGTTCGAATCCTAATACTTGAATCTCAAAATTAAAATTAAAAACATGTTCGAATAGTTAATGTCACAAATAAATTAAGATAGGCTACATAATAATAAAATGTTTACTATTAAATTAAAACAGAATGAAGATAATTAATCATTCTCAATAATTTTTATATCTAGCCAGGGGGTAAAATTCCGGGGGTAAAATTCCGGGGGTAAAAATCCGGGGGGTAAAATTCTGGGGGTAAAATTCCAGGGGGTAAAATTCCGGGGGGTAAAAATCCGGGCCGTACACACTAGGTTTTTATAATTTGATGTGTTCTGGTTAAATTCACAACCGTGAAAATATATGTTTAATTCCGCGTTTAATCCATCGAGCTGATGTCGCGAAACTCAAAAGTTCGCGGCCGGAATTTTACCCCCTGGTTTGTGACGTCACGTTTGCCGAGGGGGTAAAATTCCAGGGGGATAAAAATCCGCTACCCCCATTTGAGTTCTTCATTGCGTGTTTCATGTGAATAATTCAATATTTTAATATGGCAGCCATTTAAATCTTTATAATTTATATTACTGTCGTTGTGCATTGACGTACCCATTTGATTCAACGTATTTAGAAGGTTGAGTGACAATTTTTACTGTGGCGTTTCCTAATAGTCCTACTGCCGCCGTGCATAAAAGCCCCCATTTAACTCAATAAAACTTGAAACGCCCGGCCACTGCACCGTGAGTTAAAATCGGCTTTCTGTGTCTTAAAATAGTCTGCGGGTTTCTGTGTCTGTATTATAATTTATCTCTTTTGGTATTGGTATTACAAAGTGTATTGTTATTTTAACCAAAATTGTAGCACTTGGCGTACTTCAATGTGCATTTTATAACTTTATGAATCAATTAAAAACGTATGATCATGTAATGTAACGTTCAAATTCTAACTCAACCCCTTTTATTATCTAAATGTTAAAACATGACCTAATATGCGTACTTTTAAACATAGCCTTTGGCACATAGCTACATAATCATAGTATATTATGTGTGTTGAAATTTTGTGTTTCTATAATGCAGGATAGAGCTTTATCGACTAACAGTATTTACTAATATTTTAAAACCAAACTAACAAACTCTACACATAGAGCCATTCTAAAATATCCAGTTTATACACAGTGTAGTAACTGAGTGTTTGGTACAATTACAAAAAATATTATAAACATATTTTTTTATATATGCACAATGATATGTACATATAAACGTTAGGATATGTAAACAAGGATTTTATTCGTACTACATTTAAAGAAGATTCCATTCCCAACCTAAAATTTATTAAAAAATTATAGGCTATTAGTAGTTGTTATATTTTCAACTAAAATCGACATTTATCACAAATCTATTTTTATGCAATCCAAAGATATTATGTAACTATGTGTGTCATATTACAAATTTAAGGACCTATATTCACAGGAAGTAGTACTTTTAGTGAGTAGAAATATATATATACTGAAAAACTATATTTCCGATCTTTCAGAGAGAATTTATATCGATCACACTGATAAAATAATACTAAGGAACAAATATGGACAGATGTGTGACCAACGGGCTTGAAGCTGGGCTTAGGGGGACCTTAGAAGAGATTTATGATGTTCTTTACCTTCCCATGGCACCTTTGACTTAGCACTGGAAACTGCAACCCCCTCTATTTACTACTTACTTGATCACAGTTTATTTGTTCCCTTTTCTTAAGACATAGCAAACGTGGTGTAACATGATTGTTGGACACTGAAACTATTCAAGTAAAGTGGTGACAAAATTGTCGATAAAACAAGAGGTATTTTCGTCGGTTGAAATTGTACAAAGAGAAAATACATTACATGTCATTAGACACAGTGAACAATGGATGAAAAGACCATTTTACTGATATTGTCAAACAATCATAAATGTATTATAGTTTCCTACCTCTCTGTAGTTTGAGATATAGTGTATGACGATGTCACTCTAACATGCGCTGGTTCAGGTGGTTGGAAATTGTATTTAGTTTAAGTATTAAAAGTTAAATATTTAGACATTTTGGAACTTACTTGCATCTATGATTTTTGTTGTATAAGTTAGCGGCAAAGCATATAATTGAGGTTTCTATTGAATGACTGGGAATCCTATAGAATGCACGTAGGAACTACAGGTAAAGTATAAAATACGCCACTGTAGGACCTTCTTGGGACTTTTGTTGCCTTCAACAATACTGACAATGTAAAAATGTAGAAAACACTGTTATGCCCAATGTGTTTGAATAAATAAAATATAACAATGAGAGTAAATGGTAAAAACAACATCTACAAATACAAGCGAGAAAAATGAACATTAACTCTGACCAAAAGTAATTTTCTAGTTGCTATCGGAGCCACTTTTTGAGTTCCCATGCCGAATGTTAATAAGGGAAAGATTAATTTAAGAAATATGTTTCTATAACGGATATCACAGTTAATGGGGTTTATAAACTTGGCCATAAAAAAAGAGACTTTAAACAGTTATAGTTAAAGAGTAAAGATCATAATTTTCCATATGCAAGGAAAACCTTTCAGGAACTAAACATATTTTTGAAGAAGAAACCGAACTTCGTACTGGCGCAACAGCCCAGCCTTCAGGATCTGGCTTAGGCTTTAAAAAATCACCTATCAATTAAATGTCAAACTAAAGTACTACCTATTGTACAAAAAATAAAATAAAATAGACAGTGTGATTCGCAGTGCACACAGCACTCTTCCTACTGTGACAAGTAGAAGTTCGAAACTCAATTGTACAATTTATGTTACTAATTTGTTGTAACAAACATTTACTGTACCCAAATGTTTAATGTTGTAGAGTAAACAAATTTTGAGAACAAATCTCTTATTTCATAAGTTTCCGGACACAATTGTGGGTATTCTGCTTAAGAATTATCCCAATGACCATTCAAAGTTTGCAAGTCTCTATAAATATTATTCGATTTCATACTTTGCCTAAGGATTCTAGGCAAAGAATGCCTAGTAATTCTATATAGTACCTATATTATATATTTTGCCAAGAAACATACATACTAAATTATAGCTGCAAGTTAAGTAGCAATATTTCATGGAGTTTACAATTTTAAACTTTTAACTAAATAAAACTTTCTAAATAAATATTAGTGATTTAAAAATATCTAATTTGGAAAAGTAATTGGATTGCTTTTGAATTCTCTGATGAACAATAAAATATACCGGTGGTGTGTGCCACGACTCATAATTAATGGATAGCCTAAGGCTGTAATCCTGAACAGTATGCCAGATTTAAATTATTATATTGTATATTGTAATAAAACTACTGTACTATATTACTGATTTCGTTATGCATACAAAGCCGTCTAAAAATTGTAAATTGTAATTTACCCCTTCTTGTAACTTTTTTTGCTAAAAACATTATTTGAAAGCAGTATATCATAACATTAATTTTATAATAGATTTTCCTTTATTAGAAGTATGCTGTATTGAAGTATTGTTGTCTCATTAACTTTCCATACTACCGATTAGAATAAGGTCGTCCACCAAAATGTATCTTTGTATTTGGTATCTTAGAGGTTAACACCCTTATTTTTCTAATTAACAATAAAAATGACAAATAAAACAATACAATTTTAATTTAAATGCGTATATAGTAGGCTTAATTATTTTATAAATTTGTGATGTTAATTTGAAATTTTTGTTAAATTGATAAAAGATATAGTACATTATATTACTTTTGAATTTATATTATTTACTGAGATATTCGAAGTTCCAGAAGTAATACCTAATACTGTTAATTAGCTGTATAATTATTTATACATAATAATACAATTATTTTATAAATATTGCTTGCTACAATGTTATTGATAGTATGGTAATTCTTACTACAAAGTAAACAGTAATTCTCTAAGAGAAGAATCTAAGTACTTTAGACAAGTAATACTCATATTTGGTGTAGTGATAAGTCTACATTTCCTTTTATTATAAACCTGTTTAAAATCCAACATAATTATACCAAACCAAGTATTAGTAAACTGTTGAACAGTGCAAACATCTTATTAAATATGAATATTTATAATGTAAAAGCTACGTAACACTCCGACATACGCTTTGAAGTAGTTACCGTACCGGACGATTATAAAAATGCTAGAGTAAAAAACAGTTTTACTATGGTATCATATAGGAGTTTGTAAATAATAAAATAAAAACCACAATATTCTTCTAATCGGTCTCTCAAATATTATTTAACAAATTAAATTAGGTTTGAAGCAAAAATTTAGACATACACATTTTTTCTGACATTTTTATCTAGACTAGTAAAAAACAAGTTGGACGAATGCACCATGAACACTCAGCTGAATGCTGTCCTAACGTAAATATAAGAGGGGCAAATAAAGACAAAATGGTCATCTAAGAGAGGCTAAGGGAGCGGCTTACATGGGCCATATTCGAGCCTTAGTAAGATTTATTTCACATTACGCCTTCAGGCTCGTCTTTACGCTCTGAGAAGAATTAATAGTGACAGCGCCAGAGACATTAGGTCAATGATAGATTTTTACTAAGATGTATCTAAATTCCGTTATTCGTTTTTTCTTGTTGCCACCGAAATAAGTTCTTTTAATTATAACGAGCTATGATTTATTAAAATAAAATGTCGAATATATTTCGTAATATCATCGAAAAACTGTTTTTAATTATAGATTAAAAGCTAAACAGAAAGAAATTAGATAGGCCTATCCAAAATAAAAATAGCCACAATTCAAGTTAGGAATAAGATTTTTAATAAAACAAAAAAACAATAATGTGACCAACTTATTAAACGTTTTTGTTTGATTCCACTTCGTAATTCAAACGAAAACCATCAATTAATTAATGATAATATTAATTATCAATAATTACAACCAATGAGTGGTGGATATCTTTAATTAGCAACATCAATAATCTTTTTCCGGTTTTATGGAGTTTGATACACATATTATTGCGTGTCTTATTTAATTATGCGTATGTTACTTTCCTTGAAATATGGGTAACCTTAGCCTTTTATCAAGTCATAGGAGCATTGATGGTTCTGAAAAAGGTCTAAGATATACATTTTTTCTAAATCGCATTTAGAACAATATACAGTACTCATAGGAAAACAATCATAATAAGAAAAACTTATATATTTCATAACTCATAAACATTTTGGGACTGAATGATCCTCTAAGATCGACGGGTACAAAGGATTACTGTGTGTCCCTTCGTAAAATTGTTCCGTAACTTCCTAGTTTCCGCAGAAAGAAGTAGACATAATTTAAGTTTGGGTTTGCAGAGAACGAGTACCAGCCTTTGGGGTGAGTGGATGGGTGTAATGCACGGTGACGAGATAGAGTACGTGTTTGGCCATCCTCTCAACATGTCTCTGCAATACAACGCCCGTGAGAGAGATCTCAGTCTACGCATCATGCAAGCCTACTCTAGGTTCGCTCTGACCGGGTAAGTAAACACTTAGTAGGCAGGACGATAGGCTCTATCCCCTAATGGACTTCAGGCTAGGCTTACAGGGTCTTGGCATTATCATTACAAAATCCATTGCTGATTGATGGGTTTTGAAACCGCACCTCGGAGACCCAAATACAGGCCAAATCGAGGTAGGCCTACTGTATGTAAACGATAGAAACATAGAGGTATTAAAAAAAATCAACGGAAAAATAATTATTAATGCCTTGAACGTTTCATCAATATTATAAATCATGAAATATAGATTGAAAGATCGTATCTTTCTTAAACTCAGCTACTTTATGTTTTCACGGGACTTTAATAGGTCCCGGGACTGCATTCGGGTCTGTATAAAAGGTGTCCGTGTATATGATAAAACGATTTTATCTCTTACAATGCAGATTTTGAAACTGTAGTTAGGAAAGACAAAACTCATGAAAACATTTAGTAAGACAGATCGACTGGTATATTACTACCCTCCATGCTAGTAAGTTGATAAACCTTTTAAATATCCTAGGCTGATAATTCTAAAAGTCACAACTAATAGAACTGATAATTCTAAAATTAATTGCTTTATACAAATACAAATTAATTACTAAAGGGGGCTATGGTACGTGGTTTTATTGCTAGTTGTAAGCATTATTTCGTAATTTACATGTTTTCCGACAAAATATAATCAATATTTGTAGTTAAAAACTATTGATTTACAACCTATCTTTACGATGGTAATACTTCTTAAATACATTAATTTTTGTATTGGAATAAAGAATTGAGTACTAGTTGGCATTTACGTCATATATAGATTGAATATGCAAATTCACAATACATATTGATACCATGATGTTTGTCCAACTTTATATTCTATGTGTATTTGCGTTCTCCTTAGGAAACCAGTATCAGATGACATAAACTGGCCGATATACTCCAGAGACCAGCCTCAGTACTACATCTTCAATGCTGAGAAAAGTGGCATAGGCAAGGGTCCTAGGGCAACTGCTTGCGCCTTCTGGAATGATTTTCTTCCCAGGCTCAAAGGACAGTCTGGTAAATATATAATGGAGACGTGCCATGAACGTAACGGTTCAGTGGGTGATGATTCTTGAAACTGTTCTAGGAGTTTGGTCTTCTTCAGCTTATATATTGGAGACAGTAACATATTTAAACACTGGGTTTGACGAATCCCTAGCTCTAAGAAAAGAAAAATAAGCTTATTATGGAAACAGTGGTTAACCCGCGGGACACAGTGGACCGACAAGGTCTTCTTATCTTGTTGAGTGATCACTGCGCATGTCATAATGCTTTATTGCTGAAAAGGCAGATAAAATTACCAATCCTCTTAAAAAAAAACAGACGAAAATTTTACTTTTTACTGCTAAATTCCGTTTAAATATAGTCCTGGTTATTCGTATGGTACTAAATTATCCCACCAACAGCCAACGAGAATTGATGAGTAATTATTATCTTCCTTTATTAATGATGAACACATTTTCCCGAATGGTATACCTAGCCTGGATTTTGTAAGAAGGATAAGTGTAGAAAGGTTTTTAGACTATTGTGCATATATAAAAATTGGGTTCAATTTTACATTAATTGGCAACGGTGTGGATATTTTAGGTTAGTGCTTATGATGATGACAAAATTTAACTTTTTCCAAACACATTAAATACTACTAGCACAAATTGAAGTCCTCGTAAATCTCATAGAGTTCACAACCTTTTTTTGGTAAATGTTACGTTGTTCATCAATATCAAAATTCAACTTTTGTAACAGCACACCACTAAATAGTGGCGGACCTCCTTTTTAAAATACCCAAAAATGAGTTAAGTGATGTTTATTCCAGATGTTGAACTAGTTTATGAGAAATCTAGTTGAACCCGTCTTCAGTAAGTAAAAAACATGGATAGGGGCTTTCCCTGACAATCGCCCGTAGTTCTGTAATGCATAGTCTGCAAATAGATCCACAGTGACAGGATAACTGGTGTTTCCTGTTCTCACTTTCAGACCCAGAGTGCCTGGCTGATCTCCCAGAAGCGCAGACTAGCAGTCCCTGGGTAGACAAGGTCAAGGACAACTCTACATCAACGACGTACAAGTCGTCTGTCATCACCATGCTGGGGCTGCTGTTGCTGACAATATAAGAAGCCAGCTGTTTAACACCTGTTCCACAACATTAGCCTAGCGACTGCCGGCGGGCCAGGGCTTAGCCGCCGCCGACAATGCTACTAAATTCGTACTCGATAGCACTTTTGTACTGTTACGTTTTATTTCACTTTATTTTAGAATGCAAGGCCCAAAAGGACCGTGTAAAAATGTACTCGTATGATTTAGGCCTAATTAGAGTAACGACTTATTTTATCGAGACTTAGGAGAGATTACTGTTATAGTTACCGTACTGTTAAGTAAGGTGACGATTCAGTCGAAGCATATCATATACGAATATATATTATATAATATCGGTTTTTGTAAATAGTACTCTACTCGAAGTCGGGTAGAGATACGATACATATCGAATACATATCAAAAATGTAAATTATATTTGTATCGATTTAGAAGTATAAGTGCGTAGAAAAACGGATGTTCGGTTAGAACGAGACATCGGGTGAATTCTAGATCGGTCAAGTACTCTCGGAGGTCGGATTACAGCTTTCGTGTGCTTTGTTCAGGAGAGTGCGAAGGACGAAGTGACCTCGTGTCCGACTACATGCGTCATGCCATCATGCCAGCACATTACATGGCGCCCACATCCCTGTAAAGTTATCGCATATTTTAGGAACTTTTACAAGTACCTTTCTCCCAAGACCGCCATTTTATACGCATCTTATATACAGTAACTGACAACTGTACAATATTGTGAATAGATCGACTTGTTATATAGCCATATTTATATTATATATTTCTACGCTACTTTTATCTACGTAAGGTAATGAAACAAGGTATCTAGTAAAGTAGGGATCACTTCGGGACAATCTGACTGCGATTTTCGAGGCAGGCTGAACGTTAAATATTCGATGATACAGTTCACTGTTTAACTGTCGCGGGTTTACGGACCGACGGGGAGCGAAGACCAGAACGAGACCAGCCCCCTCAGCGTCGTCTTCCTCGTCGGGGCTAGCCTAACGACTTGCAGACTTACGATGGAAACATTTTCAGAGAGTTTCGATGCTTTGTGTTTGCGTAAACACGACTTTACTTTTCCTCTGTAATCTTAAAAACAATCAGTGCGAACGTTAATTTTGACGTTTAATGTCTATTACAGTCGGTAATGGTAAATAGTAGTGGTGTTCATTTACGGAATTACAAATAAAAACAGTTCTTCTAAAGAATCTTCATAACGTGGTCTGTAAAATTTCTTTGTAGTTAATTTTATGTATAAACTGTAAAAGAATCTTGATGGAAACTTGTACCCAAATGCTAAAGTTTTTTTTTATTGAAGACAAACTAGTAATAGTTGTCTACTGTAGAGTGAGTGAACGCCACCTTAGCCGCCCCACTCGCCATGTCGCACATGAGTGTTAGAGTTATAGTAGTGCTCAATATATGTACCTTCACACAAAGTGCGTCTGTTTAGTATAAGTCTCAAGACCGGTTCACCCACAAATAGCTTTCACTTTGCGAATGTCCGGGGTACTGATAGCTTTAGGAACATGTCTTTGTAATAAGAGAGGACTAAATTTTAAATTCGAATGTTGTATTTTGTAAATATAAATGCGAAAAATCGTCGATAATTAGAGACTATCTTTAACTCATTAATCAGTTGTAACGAGTACATATCATTAGATTAGTTGTATGATTTAGGTTAGTAAATCAAAGGGAGTACGTTTTGATATATGGAAGTAAAATTTCTCGTCTAGTTACACTGAAAAGTAACAATAGGGGTTATTTTTTATATTTCATTAATGTATGTATTATTGTTGCCATACTTTTCCTCGGCGTCAAATATATATATTTGTTTTTGTAATATTGTATATCAAAGAAATGTAGTTTTTATTCCCTTGTCACATTACATACTATATCAGTGCTGAAGACGAGAGCTTGTAGTAGTTTTATTTCAGAGATGTAAGTTTACTGTGCCTCATACCGATCACTTCGGTCGCAACGCTGATCTCAGACGCTTATGCGTCTACCTCGTACCATATCACGTTAGTAGAACTAATGCCTTCACCTTACCACTTAAACCAATCGCAGTATACTCGTACCTTCCGGTGTAGCCATTTCATTTACTTACGTCTCTGTGGTCTGATTTTATATTTGTATAATTTTTATTAATGTGAAGCACTACTGGAATTGCCTTTATAGATTACAAGTCCGCTTTTTACATCAAGAACATGATAATATCGTATTGTGGTTTTAAGAAAATATATTATGGTATCGTAAAATTTATGATTTACTCCGATTACTTTTTATTTTAAAAATAGTAAAATCAATTAACGGAAGGAATTATACAAATTCAAAAGTTATCTTTAAGTGATATGAAAATTTAATAATTAAGAAAGGCGTATTTGAAAGTACATTTAGTACTACTAGGCGTCCCAAAATATCACAAATCTTGGAAATGTTTATCTTTCAAACCCCGAGCGCGCTACAACGTGAGATTCGCCTTTCATACAGCAGTTCCTGGAGTGAACCACCGCTACGCCACTTGAACACAGAAATCGCTCAAGAGAGCATTTGTGGATGTAACTTGACACATATCAAACATAGGCCTAAAGCTTGTGTATAAGTGTTGTAAAAATGTACTGTTACGATGTCCCTTGTGTCGTATGTGTAATTCTAAGAAGTAGCTGCGACAGTGTCCACCAACTCTCTGTGGCCCTAGCCCCCAATCTGCAGTTGAAAAACAACTTCCATGTACAAGTAAACATACGCTTCTTAATCTAAGTGTACCAAAAGCAATTTGTTTTGAAACCACCCGAAATAAAGGTTTCGATTTCAACTAACGATTGAGGGCCAAAGATGTTGTCGCTTGCTTACTAGAGATATCTCCCAGATTTACAGTTAACCGAACTAAGTTGGAAAAAATCTACAGTAGTCATAGAAAATGTTGGAAAACAATTCAAATCAGTTGACTATTATTAAAACTTGTATAACCACTAAAAGACAAAATTATTTTTATACTTGCAGCTCGAAATTTCACTTTATTATTTATTATATCTTAAAAATGAATGATAACCATGATTCAACCTTATTTTCAATTTTCCATTCCCAAAATCAGCTACGATAAAAAATAACCTACCCAATTTGTTTTATTTTTTTATTTTATTTTTATTTTATTTTATTTTATTTTATTTTGCCAACAGATTTACATCAATTTTACAGTTTGATTGAGTTGTAAATTGCTCATTATGACTAGATAACCCATAATAATAACAATGAAAGGAATGTCAAATGTAACAATAATAAGAGTAAAGTATGCATGTGAAAAACTTGGACAAAGAAAGAACTGAGTAACGATAAGCAAATACATTGTTGAATGAATAACGAAGAAATGTATACAATAAATGGCACATGGACTAACCTACAAAACAATAAACAATATAAATAACAATGAAATAACAATAAACAGATACATAAATATTTTTGTGAGAACAATAAATAATATTAAAAACAATGATAAATTATTATATTACACTAAAATGCGTATGATTACATACAAATACAGTATATAAGACAAAGTCTTTGGGTTACGAATGTTAAGTCTTTGTATATCAATAATCAATAATAATATTTTTAAACCAACCCTTATCCAAAGGAATCATAACTATACAAAAACATTAATAATTTATGTATTTTTCAAAATTCAAAGTAGCATTTTCTTTTACTAATAACTTTTTTCATACAAAATACTAATTTCTGTAAAGTGAATTGAGTTTGACAATAGACCGTATTTTGGTCGTTTATTCCAACTTAGTGAGCTGATCTGGAACCTGGGAGAACTTGAGTCACGCCTTATCTACTAAGGGAGAACGCCCTTCGGCTCAGGGGGTGTCTCTCCTTAGCCTACAAGCTTCTCTATGACGGAAACATGTTAGTGGGTCCTCTCCATCCTTCCTGCAGTAGTGTGCAGCTTTTCTATTGTAAGCTCAGCCTATGTATATGTAGGATGTATCTATTTATAAAATGTGTCTAACGCACGCCATAGCTAATATTAGAGTAGATTTCAGTTTGTTAATCAGTGAGATCGTGATAGCACACAGCAGACTGGAACTGAACTAAAACATATCACATACACAGACTTTGAATATTTTACCGGCGTGTTTGCAACGCTGACTTTATCGAAGAACGCCAATTCTTCCCATTAAAAATGATGTATCGATATAATATTTTTATATTACTCTCTATAAATTAATGAAATGTTATCTTTAAAACTGATGTACTATAATACACGTTTGATACCTTGTATACCTACATTCCAGTTGTCTACTTTGAGTAGTTGTATGGGTAAATATGAGGAAGAAGGTAATTAACGGGAAAACATTGTCCCTAAAATAGTAAAATTTAACAGTAAATAAGTACAGTTTGTTATTTTAAAAGCCAACAGTCGAATACTACAAACGCAGTTTATTTCGACTCTGCTGTATTGCGATTAACGCGCGACTAAAGGAATTAAGTGTACGGGAACTGTGAGTTTCAGTTTGTTGGAAAAGATATATAAGTTACCCATTGTTAGTGATAAGAGAAATTTTATACTTTGAAAAACTATATATTATAGCAGGATTGGAGACTTGTGGGGAGATGTACAATGCAGCTATATAATAGTTTTTCACTTTTTTATCCAGCCTCTGGTTCAGGAAAGAATGCGGTTTGAACATTAAAACCCGTCTTGGTTTGATTTTAACAACCGTTTTAACAACTTGTTGGGTTTTGTTATTAAAAACAGTGTGTATTCTATTACCTTGCCACGATTAATGTTTGCTGGTCAAACTATAATCTGTCACCCTCTATCGACGCTGCACGGTGCATTTCTCGCAAGCCTGCTGTTGTACTGCTTACCCGCTGTTCGGTGGATAGTCTGTTCATTTTATGTTTCTTGTTATGTATCACCTGACGTTGTATACACATATAGCCTCAATAAAAGAGGAATATGTCCAACACTTGTTTTATTTGCAATCCTCCTCCAATAATGTATTGATAATGAAAACAGTGGTGAAGAAAAATTGCAAAATATGTCCTGTGTATTATGAGTCGACTCATAAAAGGCACGCAGTATTGTAATTCTTTGGTAAAGGGTTACTTCAATTGGTCAATAAAAGAAAATACATTAAGACTACTTCCGACTACCTACATATGGTAATTTTTGAGTAGGCCTACAGATTATAGAATCTCATTTAATGAAAATATTCTTCAAAACTATAACGATATATTTTTCTCTTAATCATACACAAAATTGTCCGTACTCTATTGACAAGCAGTGTTAAGTATATAAAGTGATTTTGAAATTGACTTCGTAAGTAGTAGTATTGCACGTGTCTATAAATTATCAACACTGTACGTCAACTTTATCAAGCCAGTTGAGCTAAAAGTTGTGTCAGCATAAGCGACGAATCCAGGAGAATGGAACCAATTGAGACCAGGCATCCCATTCCAGTATCGACATTTCGTGCTGTGCGTGTGTTGGTAAGCCTGCACACGGGGAACAAGTTGGAATTGACTTATTACTTTGTAAATTCAATTTAGTTGTGGCGCTCTGCGGTGCACTAGACAGAAAACAACCGAACGAGTGGTTTAAGGTTATATAACTAAAAACAGATAACTAAAGAGCACATTGTATATAAACAAGAAAAATAGGTTTAAAAGGTACGGAAAAAAGTATGGTAATGACAAAATCAATTTAGCTAACTCAAGTATTTTCTATATCACCTGTATCCACCAGCAAGTGTGGATTTAGCTGGTTTAGCTCAAAAGGTGGCTGAAAACAATTTATTTGAAAATATGTTTGCTAAATGAAATAAAGATACAAACATTCTTATTTTTAATTAATAACACGTTTTAGAATAAATTTCTTGTGTAATATTTGAATACTATGTGATTGGAAGCTTTTTACACTTATATATACTTTTATTAAAGAAGTAAAGGTTTAACGAGTATCCATACCCCAGAAGATTTTGGATTCATGGCGTTTATAAAGATGTAAAATACTAGTAAAACCTCATACTAGTGATACTTCATACTAGTAAAATAAAAAATATAATTAATGAGGAATGATAATAAATTACAGTTTTACCAAAAATATGATTGATACTTAAGAGTCCAATGAAATACTGTTCAATTGAACACAAACGCCTTAGGCTGGATAAAGCGAACCTAAGTTTTTATAACTTTTCCTATGACTTATGACTTATTAACGCCAAATGATGTTTTATTGTTTATTGAAGAGCTACTACAAATCACATTACTAAACCCGTTGCTCTAGATAATAAAACACTGATGTTTGTACCACAACGTTTTGGGTTAACACGGAATCTTTATTTGAGCTTCCGTGTAAAACTTTATTTCAAAAAATACTCTGATATAATACATTTTAAAAATATGCTACATAATATAAATTAATGAAGTAGGCTATTAATGGATTGGTTTAAAGTAGATTTTCAAAAATGTCCTTACTGATTGTTAAACTTAAACGAAAAGTTAAATAATTATAACTTGACATTATCAAGGTTCATTACTTAAGTACCATAAAGGAGCGCTTAGAAAGGGTGATCCCCACGGGATCTTCCCAGCTACCTTTAAGGTTTTGAAATTAACTGTATGGATATTTTATACCCAATTGTATCCTAAGCATACAATTGGGTATATTCTATATTCATTACTGCCATTCGCTCAATTATTCCAAATGTTAAAAATCTTGTTATTTATTTATTCCAACGGAAAAAAAACATTTTACAATAACAAATACATAAAATGGATAATTTAACAAAATTTCACAAAATATGTATGAAGCTTATACAGTATACTGTATAAGATGGCAGACACAAGTATCATTAAAGGTTAAATTAACAATTACAAAGATAACTAATAGTAGTTTAATAGTAGTTGGTTAATAGTAGTTTACGCAACGATTGTGTAAAGACAGTATTAACGACACGAGCAGAAAATTTAAGGTACGAGCCTTGGCAGGTGCATAACCGGGTAATTTACCTACGACAGTGTTTTAATTACTAAAAATCACTATTCCTGACTTTTAAGAGAGGCTATGTTTTTGTAAATAAACTCTCATTGCCACTGACAGTGATGCAACGAATTATTGTACCAAACACTAATTGCACCACTCAACAATTAAATTGGCCTGAACAGCTGATCAGTTGAAGTTCAAATCATTACAATTTTACTTCTTCTTTCTCAATCCTTGAATCTCATTGGTCCGTTACCCGTGTTGTTACTTTTCAATTCTAAGTACTGAACTGAAACGGCTACTTTAAAAAACGCTCGTACGAAAAAATTAACAAGTAACATAATAAGATTGGTAACAATACCAAAAAATACAATATTACAAAGTACAGAATAACAAAGTGGACTGATAATAAAGTATAACAATCTATTACTAATCAACAACAGTCCAAGTAGCATAATAAACAAATTTAATTAAAGCATGAGATAATATAAAAAAATTAACTGACTTTAACAGACAAAAATCAAATTTAGAGCTTTTATGATTTTAAAATTTATGATTTGACAAACCACGGTAAGTACATTTGAATGATTAGTTTTATATTATTATTTCTTTACTTTGTACAGAAAATTCTGAAAGTTCATCGTAGAACCTGGCTTGACGTGCAGACAATCGCAGGGTACGTACGGATATCACTGTAATAGTATACAGTTTTATAAATTGAGATCAGCAATACCAGACCCGACGAGATTGATTAAGATAGCAAAAAGACATTTCTTTTGTTGGACGTTTTCTTTTCTTCTGTAGTTGAATTTGTTTTGAATTAAATATACGAACTTCTTCTATATACATTTTCTGTGAATGGGTAATTGTATTAAAAACTGATAACAAATATTATAAAATGTTTAGTAACAGTACTTAGATAGTTCTTTATTTATTCTTTAGCTGTGTTTAGAAAATTAATGTATCTACAAATAAATATATGTTTTAAGACATATTCAATCTGCAATTATTGTCTAAACAAAGCAATGATAATGTAACTTTCTATTGTTAAAAAACACAAAACCATTATTATATTGAAATTACGTACCTTGTTAGAGTTGGTTATAATTAAACCCTCTACTGACAAACAATACACTAAACCCATGCCTTTAGCTCCTATCTCAAGGGACCATTTATGAGGCTGCCATTATTACTATCACACAGGCCCCGCTCACTATGGTGGTAAGGGGGCAATTAAACAGATTGTTTAACCACAAAATTACAGATTATAAATGTAAAACCATCAGTTAGAAAATTCTTAAAATTAAACTATGAAAAAATACATAGGCATTCCAGGGGGACCCAAAACGGATATATCCACTCAAAACTCAAACTTGAAAATGTTTACGAAAACCATACTTTCTCCATATACGGTATACTATGTATGGTATAGGGGGAGAAAGTAAAAATTATTCCTGTTATATTTGGTACCATGAGTTTAAAATTGAAACAAAGTTGTATAGATCGTGTAAATTAGGATGGCTTGTGTGGATTGAATGATGGAAAGGTTCCCAACAACATTGAGAATCACACTATACACTAGTGTACATTCATTTATAGGTAATTAGTTGATGAGATGGCCGTGCAAAATAGCAGAAGTGACGATGGAAGAAGTGTTATTTCGCACACACGCATCCCACTGGCCAATGTAATTGATACGATCTACACTATGCTAGTTTTGGTCCACCCTGGGGGTCCATTCCCAGTACCCGTCATGTCTGACGAGCCTTCCCCTATCCGCCACCTGGGGAGGCGCCCGATAGGAGACTAGCAACTCCACACGGGAAAAATATGGTAGAGGTGGGCGGAATCATTTCTACAATATTTAACCCTTCTAATGTCAGTTTATAAATTTAAAAAAGTCACAAAGCACGATACCCGCTGTGGAAGGCGGTGCTAGACATAGTACTTTCCAAAGACTTCCTAACTTTTTAGGGATATTACATAACACTCTTCCAATAGATAAGAGTAATTTATATTTACAAATAAAAAAGCACATGCAGGGTATAATAGTTCTGCTGCTTCCCAAAAGGTATTCTAGTACTACTCCCAAAGATAAAAAATGACTCCGGAAGTAAACATTTTGTGCTGTTATAGTAAAATAAGAACCTTGTATTGAGAGACTTCCCAGAACAATCATCGTTAAGAAATGTTAACATAAGTGGAAAACGTAATAGATTATCCCCTACCCACCTGATACAGGCCACCTCTAATACTTAACCTAACGTGACTAACCTATACTGCCTATGAAGGTGTAGCCATAGAGATTAGTTATACATACTAACTGTAGGGGTATTTTCTAGAAGAGAGAGTCTGATCAAAATAATGTATATCCTCGAAAATGCATTACTCCTTAATACAATATTCAAAGGAATGTAATTAGTTTAATCTCTATAGGCACACCTGTAAATAATATATAGTTGACTACAATATATATTGAAGGCTCAGTTTTAAAATATTAATATGTACCTTAGTACGTTAGTAAACTGAGTTAATATCCTGACAAACTAAAAGTAAAAAAAAAAATAATAATACTACGGAGCCTTTCAAAGATTTAATAGTAAATTAATAATATTAAAATGTATAGAATAGCCCTTATTACTAAGGCCAAGATACCAGCCTAAACATATGAAAATTATTATAGCCTATCTACTAAACCAGACAAAAAGCAGTGTAACTAAACCAACCTGTTTTCTTAGTAACAATGCAGAAGTCACAGTAGGTTTCTTAATTTAATATCAACTAAACTTTGCAGCTATCAAACTCTTTTCACACTATTCACTGTTCCGAAGGTAACAAAAGTATAACATTGTTATATATTTACAACATATATATATATATTTTTAATTGTATTTCAATTCACTCTTTAACCATTACCAAGTACTAAGAAATTTCATGTAGTTAAGCCAATTCATAGAATTAATTTTGGCAGATATGTTTC